GAAGTATCGCGCTCAGTGTAAATCTGTCCGCGCGGTCCGTACGTCGGGCCGACTAGCAGAAATCTCATTTCATGCCGGAAGCCCGAAAAAGGGATTAACGCCCGGCCATTTTCCGCGGAGCCTGGTTTTAACTTTCTCGATGGACCGCCTATTAAACCGATTACTCGTGGCTGGCCAGCCACCGAAAAAGCCCTCTCGGGCAACTTCCGACCTCGCCCGGAGAGTTTCCCCTTGACATCCAGCGAGCTCACCTTTCAGACACCCTATCCTCTCCCCTTCTTGACACCCTCCCCTCCCCTCCCTTCCTTGACCCTGCCTTATCTGCCGCCGTTTTATCCTCGCGGAATTAGCCGACCGCGGCGTTTTTACGAGAGTTTGAATCCTTCTGCTTTCAAAGCGAAAGGGAAATTGAAGGCGAGGCACGCGCGCGCCTGTTAACATGGCAAAAGGCCCGATGTTCAACAGAGCAATTCGACTGGTTTCTTTCCTTCTTTCGTTGTTCGAGCCGCTGTGCATAGAATATGTATGCAAAATACGCAACGCCGGTGCACGGTGTTTTAACAAATTTAAAAGGAAATCTGTTTAACAAACGAACGTGAGAATGGTAATTAACCTCGCGAATATCTGAAGAATCAAGTATTCAATTCATTAACGTGAATACTGTTTTGTTACAAAGGCATTAACACCGAATCTGACTGAAAATTGAAACGTTTGAACCGAATTACGAAAAATCAAGGAAAATTAAAGCACGGTGTATTGTCTTCGTGGATCACGGAACGTTACATACACTCACTCGTGACTGTAACTGGCCGTACTGTCGAGTTTGGATCGGGATATTCAGTAGAATGTGTGTAGCACGTCACAGGACTGTGAATTTGTTTCTTGGCCAAATTTTGAAAATTAACCTTTATAGGCACTATGCGCCACTATAGTGGCTCACTCGCTCACCGTTTTGAATCAAATGATCGTTTTCATATGTTTTGTTTCACACTTTTTTTGCCTT